CCCCCAAAACCCCAAAACCCCAAAACCCCTGCATTCTTTCAAAATATAGAATGAATCCAAAATGGTTACTGCACTTTACTCACAGTGAGCTTGAGAGCAATGAAAGCTCCGATTCGGTACAGGACTCCCATGATGAACAAGATCAGGATGGACCAGCCAAGGCCAACATTATAGTCGAACTGGTCGAAGATGGCTTGTGGGTCAGAGTAGTCATCATTATTTTCAAATTCGTTCCTGACTAAAGCCTCTGTAATGAACCTGATGGGTGATAGGAACTGGAGCCAGGAAAGCCAAGGGTAGATATCTTTCAGGTTTACCATGTATCCTCCGAATACAATAAATGGCAACATTAGAATCATAGATGCTTGCGTAGCCGAGGACGCATCTGTAAAGACACATCCAAGGAAGAAACCAATAGATGTTGCAGCTATAATACCGCGATCATTTGTACAAGAGTGAAGATTCAGAATTTCCCGAAATCAAGTGTCATGCCTCATGTGAAGTATATCACGCAGGAGACAAGGATTGGTGTGATGAACTGGAATGGAATCTCCACTATAGATTTAGACATATAGTAAGACCAGAGCCCATAGGATTTACTGGCATATTCTCTCAAAAATACTGGTCTTTCCATTATGAATATGACGATGATGGATTGAAGTGTGCTCATAACCATGTGGACGCCTAGAAAGAATCAGAATCCTGTTTTGTTCCTCACTTCATTTTCATTAGAGCTCAGATCCCAGAAAACTAAGGACATCAGGATTGCAGTGACTACGATCATGAGAGCTCTCATGGTTGTAGAGTTTGGATTCCTAACCAGGTTCAAAGTTGTCCGCTTGGTTAATGCTCAAAACTCAGTTATATGATCTGCATGCGGATGGGATTCTTTAAGATATTGCTTATCAATCTCAAAATTTTGTATATTCTCATCCTCATCAAGAATTTTCTGGGCAATATGAGTCTCGTACCCATCTAGGAGAGTCTCCAGCTTCTTCTCATCTTCAAGAGTTTTATTGTAGGGAATAAAGAATTCCTTGAGGTAATAATCAGCTGGATTTGCAAACTTGGGAATCATGAATCCGATTTTGGTAAAGTACTCATCAGCTTCTTGAGCTTTCCCTTGATAGATCGGGTAACCATCCATTAGTAGTAGAAGCCTATCGAATAAGGAATAGGTGCTCGAATTCGGCTGATGAATCGTAGCTACGACTGTCTTTCCTTCTCTTGCTTGATTTACTAGTAATTTAACAATCCGGTTTGCTGTGAAGCTATCCAGTCCTGAGGTAGGCTCGTCCAAAAATATGAGGTCTGGGTCAGTTACTAGTTCTATAGCAATAGATGTTTTCTTTCTCTCCCCAGGTCTGAGCCCTTTGATGAGTTTATCCCCAATTATAATGTTTTACGAGAGTTGGCTAGATTTAAGGTATCGATAGTATCATTAACTCTTTTTCTGAGATCCTCTCCTTTAAGGTTCGTCCTGAGCTTTGCTGAGAAATGAATTGCTTCTTCACAAGTAAGTGTTGGGAAGAGCACATCATCTTGCATAACGTAAGTTCCATATTTACCAAAATCTCTTTGAGAAATGGGGTGACTATCATTCAATAAGATTTTTCCTTCAAGTTTACAGGCCTTGTTCTGGACAAGGCGGTCACAAAGTGCGTTAAGGAGAGTAGTTTTCCCTGCTCCAGATGATCCCATGATAAACAAAGCTTCACCACTATTAACATACCCATGCTGTGTTTTGAGCAACACTTTATCGTATGTTTGTTGTGAGACTCCTAGCTCCTGCATAGCCTTTTTGGAGTATTTCGCCTTAACCGTGTAGCTTAGGTTGCTCCAGGATAGTTTAATGGGAATCCTCTCCTCACCTTCCTTGTCTATTTGGATGCCTTCAAATGCAGACTCTGTCATTTATAGTAAAGTATTCTATATATTCTATGAAATTTGGGGTTTTGGGGTTTTGGGGTTTTGGGG